ATCAGAACCACCAGGGTGGGAAGGCCTGAAGAGGCTGTTAAGAAGTTAGTTCACAGGGTTGACCTGGAGTCCAGGCTGAGCAGGGCAGGAGGGGTGGCCAGCAAGGGACTGGAACCTGGGAGGCATTAGGGAGTTGGCCTGGGCAGTAGAGAGCGGCTGAGAGGGGTGTGATGGAGAGAGAGCTGGAGGACAGGCGCTGGCTCACAAGGCAATGAGCGGAAATCCAGGTCTTGAAGGTGGCGTATTTCTGGGTGAGGACAAGGTCCAGGTGTGGCTTTGGGCATGGGTGGCCGAAGTGAAGAGGTGGCAGTGGTCCTCAGGGCTGTGGAAGTCAAGGACTCACAAGATTTGGGAAGTTGGATGGGTCACCCAGTGAGACTCTGAAATCACCCAAGATGAGGCCAAGAGATTGAATGCGGGGAAGAAACCTGGAGGCAGATACCTGGCTGGGTGGAAGGTGGCAAATCTGGGTGGAGTGAATCTCAGAGGAGAAGCCATGGTTTGGGAGTGTCAGAGAAGCTAGGTGAAGCCAGTGCTCATTGCCATCTTGGATATAAGGGGCGGAGGAGAGGGGCTGGGGAGGTGGTATCTCAGGGCAAAGCTCTGCAGGGAACATTCTGTGGGGACAGAGAGGAGTGTGTTTAGGAAGCGGTGTCCGGGGGCACAGTGGGTATAAGAGAGAGGGTAGGCGGATGGACAGCGGTGCAGTGCACGTGCGGGATGGCTGGTGTGAGGAAGTTGTCCAAGCCCCTGGCTGTACCCCTGGGGACACTTGAAGCCCAGAGAGACACAGAGCCCCAGGGAAGCGGTGAGTCACAAGCGAGGCAGAGTTGGTGCTAAAGAAGGGAAGAGGAAGGAAGCATGGCTCTGATGGGTGCAAGGAGAGGTTCCGGAAGTGGGGGTTTGGGGACTACATGGGCCATCAAAGATGTGGAGGGAGGCAGAGGGAAAGACGAGGCAAAAAGTTAAGAGGTGGGAAGGTTCAATACATGCCCAAGAAAAAGCAAGGTGCTTGCAATGGCTAAAGAAAAGGGTCCATGTTAAGGAGTGGGGAGGGGTGACGGCTGGAAAATTAGATCAGGGCCAGCCTTGGAATGCCAGGATGAAGGGCACAGCCTTCATCTGGGAGGCACTCGGGAGCCATGGAAGATTCTTGAGGAAGGGATAGACAGGGTGCTAGCAGTCCTTCAGGAAGATACATTCTTTGGGTTTGGATTTTAAAAGGGGTCCCAGGGTGGCTTGCCTACTAACCAAAAGGTTGGTGGTTCAAATCCATTCAGAGGTGCCTGGGAAGAAAGGCCTGATGATCTACTTCCAAAAGATCACCGCCTTGAAAACCCTATGGGACAGAGTTCTCCTCTGACACGCATGGGGTCGCCATGAGTTGGAATTGACTTGACAGCAACTGGTTTGGTGTTTTCAGGTTTAAAAAAAAGTCTGGTGTCTGCTGGTGGCCTTGGCTTTGAACCTAGAAGGGCTGCCTAGCAAAGAACAGCGAGAGGAGGAGAAAGAGCAGAACTGCTTCCAAGGGGGCAGGGCAGAGAGACGGAAGGAGGGAGAGAAGCAGTATCGGACCTATATGAGAGCAAAGAGAAGTAAGAGCGAGGGAGGTGGAACCTGAAACTTCTGGTCTAAATAAAGTAGAACTTGTGGATGTTAAATGAGATTGTCACAGGTGCTTATGTTTTTATTTCCTTTGTGTATCCTGGATCAGTCATCTTCCTGCACCCTTCCAGATGTTGCCATTCCCTGGAAAATCAGGGGCAGAAAGCAGAGGGGGTGGGAACATTGGAAAGTCCCTTGCTTTGGAAAGTCACAGTTTGACACACTTGCTCCTGCTCCTCCCAGTCCCCTGCTCTTCATGGAAGCTGCCACCTGCTGAAAGCAGAAGGGAGAGCTGGGGGTCCAGGGTGGCTGGGCCTGAGCCACCCCATGTCCTATCGCAGAAACACCGGGGAAGATCTTGGTGGCCTGTGTCACCGGACAACCCTTGGCTGAGTCAGTTTTGCCAAAGCAGCCTAGCATGGGGTTAAGAGTGTGGACTCTGGAATTTGCCTGGAATCAAGCCCCAGCTCTGCCACTTACCAGCCGCATGACCCTCCCTGGGCAAGTTATTTAAAGCCTCTGTGACTCGGTTTCCCCATCTGTAAAATGGGGATCATAATTCTATCTTCTTTGTAGGGATGCTGGTGGAAGGGCTCAGCACCCTGGAGACACCCAGTAAACATTAGTTATTATCCTTTAGCATCCTTTGCATCCCAAGGAGACCTGACAAAGCAAGGAGCCCCCCTCACCCCCTTCCAGGAGGAGCACAGCTCCATGGTGTGGACAGAGGGCACCTTCACCCCCCCATCCTGGGGGGGTACTCCCTGACTCTAGTAACTGGGAACGTGGCAGTGTGTCCTGAGGTGGGGGCCCTGAAGGGGTGGACATGCCTGTCTGGAATGCTTGCCAATGGGAATTCAGCCGGGGTGGGGGGTCTCACCTAAGTTCAGAGAGGCCTAGCACTAAAACCAGCTCCTCCACCCAGACAGCCAAGGGCTCCCATAAGACCCCAGAGTGTGGGGTCTATGACTGGGCATCCCATAGCACCCCCTTCCCCTGGCTGCACGGGATAAACCGAGGATCGAAAAACACTTTTATTTCTGTTAAAGGCTGCATTGGAGACCTTAGCTTAGTCAGAGAGCTGACTAGGCAGAACCCACCCTGTCCCAGCAACGAAAGAACAAGGCTTCCAGGGCATCGTGTTGTTGTTGGGTGCCACTGAGTGGATTTTTGACTCCTGGTGACTCCATGGAGCCCTGGTGGTGCAGTGGTTAAGCGATACGGCTGCTAACCAAAAGGTCGGTAATTCAAGTTCACCAGCTGCTCCTTGGAAATCCTATGGGGCAGTTCCTCTAGAGTCGACAATGGATTTAGTGACCCCATGTGACAGAACAGAACTGCCCCATAGAAGGTAGGGTTTTCTAGGCTGTAATCTTTACAGGAGCAGATGGTGAGGTTTTTCCACTCTGTGGCTGGGTGGGTTTGCACTGCCCACATTTTAGTTAGCAGCTGAGCATTTATTTAACCCATTGCACCAGCAGAACTTCCTAGGGGGGTGTAATGCAGAACACATGCTGCCTGCAGGAAGCTCTGTGCCTCCAAAGGTGCGGATCAGATGAGTCATACCACGTCCTCTGCGCAGAGCGAGGAAAAGGGTGGGGCGAGGCTGGGAGGGCTGCAGCTCGGGCAGCCAGGCTCAAGGCAGAAGACATCAGGAAGGAGAGCAAGCCTTCCTCCTAATGAGTCACTTCTCTTATTTCTCTATTTATCCCACACACATTTATGGCAAGCTGATTGTATAGAGGCTCAATGCACCGTAAAGGTCAAGTACATGGACTTTGAAGCTGGACTGTGAAGGTTCAAATCCCACCTCTGAAACTTTCTAGTTCTGTGCCACATCCCCACCATGCCTCAGTATGCTCACCTGAACAGTGAGGTTGTTACGAAGAGTAAATGAGTGGCCTTTCAGACACTTAAACAGTTGCCTCCTCACACTAGCAATACGTGTTTGTTATTATTATCATTATTACTCTCATGGTTCTAGAACTGCAGAAGCAGAAAGGCCCTTACTGTTGGCTGCCATTGAGTTGATTCCAACTCATAGCAACCCCATGCTCCACAGGGTTTTCTAGGCTGTAAGCTTTACAGGAGCAGATCTCCAGGTCTTTCTTCTGAGGTGCCACTGGGGGGTTTCAAACCACTAACCTTTTGGTTAGCAGCTGAGCACTTAACCACTGCACCACCAGGGCTCCTGAGAAAGGCCCTAGTGCTACCTTATATAAAGGGATTTTAATTAAATGTCTGTGCATCCATAGACAGGCAGCGAGAACAACGGGAGGCTGGGCTTCTCAGGGGCTGGAGCTGAACAGGCAGAAACCAAGGTTCCTGGGGCCGTTGGGCTCGTTTCTGCTCCTCGCTCGTCTTTCTGAATCTCCTTCTCTCACGAATTCACTGTGTTCATTGGGAGCCTGCTGTGCCCCAGGGATGGCGCCAAGTGCTGGGAACACCAAGTTCCAAAACCACTTCCACATTTTAGGGATTTGTCAGAGCAGAATCCCCACTCTCTGTGCCAAATTCTGTCTTAGTCACCTAGTGCTGCCGTAACAGAAATGCCTCAAGTGGAAGGCTTTAAAGAACAGGGATTTTTTTTTCTCACAGTTCAGTCCGCTAGAAGACTGAATTCACACACGGCTCTAGGGGGCAGTCCTTCCTTGTCCTTAGTCCTTGACATCTGTCTCCCCACCTGGGTGTGTCTCTGTGTCTATTCTGGTCTTCTTATAACTCAGAAGTGATTAGATTTAGGATTCACCCTCCACTGGTATGACCTCAATAACATGACAAAGAAAAACCCCTATTTCCAAGCAGCGTTGTATTTACAAGTACCAAACCAAAGGAAACCCAAACCCAACCAGTTGCCTTTGTGTCGATTCTGACTCATGGAGACACCATGTGTGTCAGAGTAGAACCTGTGTGTTCCATAGGGTTTTCAGTGGCTGTGACCTTTCAGAAGTAGATCATCAGGCCTTTCTTCCGATAAGCCTCTGGGTGGGTTCAAAACGACAACCTCTGGATTAGTAGCCAAGTGCTTAACCGTGTACGCCATCCAGGGTCTCTATTTACAGGTACAGGAATAGGATTTCAACACTTATTTCAACACAATTCAGTCCACAACACCGTAAAGAACATGTGTATTACTTTAATCAAACCAACTTATAACGATCCTGTAGGGCAGAGTAGAACTACCCCAGGGGATTCCCAAGGCTGTAATCTTTACAGACGCAGACTGCCACATCTTTTTCCAGAAGAGTGGCTGGTGAGTTTGAACCATCGACCTTTTGGTTAGCAGCTGAGAGCGTACCCACTGCACCATGAGGGTTCCTATATTGCTTTAATAGTGGTAGAAAAACCTTATAAAAGCAGAGATGTCAATATTATTCAGCAGAACTCACTTGAGTCTGGTTTCAGGGAGGCACCGTCGTGGGATCTTCCAGGGAAGTGGGTGAGAAGAAGCGGCAGCACTGCAATATTTGCCTTTGATAATTTCCAGTAAGTGGTTCTGGGAAGTGTCTGCCCTGGATTCATTGCAGGAACTCCATTCCTCAGGATGGAAAGGATGAAGGGGAAACATCTTTTATCAGAGGATAGCAGAATGGGAGTGAGCAGGAGGTCTTAGGTCAGATCATTCTACAGGCCACCCCCAAAGTCCCGGCACCATCCACTCCCCCTCACTCGCTGGCTCACCTCTGGGAGTCAAAGTAGTTTCTTTCTGGAAATGGAGATGCAGGTTGGAGAGCAGAAGGGCAGGCTCGCCGGGAGGACATCCTTTTACTACTGAGCCTAGACGATTGATTTGGATGGCCAGAGGTGCTCTCAGAAATTGTCTTGTAAGGATAGCAAGATGACATTTATCAAAGTCAAGTACATCTTCACCAGACTGTTCTTCCTCTAAGAAGTATCTTGGACTAAAAATAAAACAATGTAGTTTCAAAAACTCATTTTGATAAATACAAATCTTGAAGACTTTTGAGACTGTTCATTTTTTCTTTCTCCCTCACCTTGTCTAATTCATTAAGCCATCTCCCATTCACTATTTAAATATTTTAAAATATACTTATAAATTTGTCCTGGTGGTGCAAATGGTTAAGTGCTCTGCTGCTAACCATTAGGTTGACGGTTCAAACCTACTCTGCGGGAGAGGGACCCAGCGATTTGCTTCCATAAAGATTACAGTCAAGAAAACCCTATGGGGCAGTTCTATTCTGTCACATGGGGTCACTATGAACCAAAATTGACTCAACAGCATCTAACAACAACATATTCCAATTCATTCCAAAACAGGGGTTGTTGTGGTTACCCAAAGAAAAAAGTCCAAAAATAAGACCAATGGTATATGAATTCAAATAACAAAAGAGTGGAGAAAATTAGAACTGTTTCATTCCAGCTGCTGAAGGGAGCATAATGCCAGATTCAAAGTGTCTTGGTGGCCAAGATGAAGAAGGAAATACGATACATTTCTCTCTTGTCCCGGAAAAATGAAATATTCTTTTCTTGGGGGGCGGGGAAGACTGAGTTTTTCTTGGTCCTAAACTTTGAAATAAATTTCTCCTGTGGCACATGGTAAAGAGGCAGAATGGACAATACCTTGACAACAGTTTTTGGTCATGTCATGGATTGAATTGTGTTCTCCAAAAATACCTGTCAACTTTGCTAGGCTATGATTCCCAGTATTGCATCATTGTCTGCCATTTTGTCATCTGATGTGATTTTTCTATGTGTTGTAAATCCTACCTCTATGATGTTAACGAGGTATGATAGGCGGCAGTTATGTTAATGAGGCAGGACTCAATCTACAAGATTAGATTGTGTTTTAAGCCCATCTCTTTTGAGATATAAAAAAGGGAAGCAAGCAGAGAGACTGCGGACTTCAAACCAACAAGAAAGAAGTGCTGGGAGTATAGCGTGTCCTTTGGACCCGGAGTCCCTGTGCTGAGAAGCTCCTTGACCAGAGGAAGACTGATGACAAGGACCTTCCTCCAGAGCTGACAGAGAGAAAGCCTTCCTCTGGAGCTGGTGTCCTGAATTTGGACTTGTAGCCTACTAGATTGTGAGAGAATAAATTTCTCTTTGTTAACACCATCCACTTGTGGTATTTCTGTTATAGCAGCACTAGATACCTGTTATAGACTAAGACAGGTCAAATGAGAAATTTCTCAAGGAGAAATCCACATGACTAATTTGTATGACTTTTGACAGCAGTTGAAAATCCTAACACTGTCGTTTAATCCAGAGATGCTGACTCAGTGCGGACGTCTCATTGGTTCTTGAAGGCACGCTGGATTAGCTGACACTGGCAAAAACTTTTGGATGCAAATACTGTTTTCTAATTAGCCATTCTTTCGCATCTTTGTTTGAAAACATATACATTGTGTCATCAGTGTTGACATCCAAGTCACCATTTGAGATTTTTAACAGGATGCAGTTTCAGATGAATCTTGTGACATGCATAGAGACCCATCTCTATGCCAGGACTGATCCACTCATGAGGAATTGGGGGTATGGTCATTCAGCCATGAAACTATTTAAGTTAGTTCTCCTCTGATCTATTATGATTTATACCATGTCTCCTTGATTCAATGAGACATAAGGGAGATGCATAAAAATAAAATGGCAAACTATGAATTAAAAATCAGGGCCAAGGGAACCAAAAAATACATGTGTGGGTTTATATGTATATATGTAGGCATATATGTATATAGGAGCCCTGGTGGTGCAGTGGTTAGGAGCTTGGCTGCTAACCAAAAGGTCAGCAGTTTGAATTCACTAGCTGCTCTTTGGAAACCCTACGGGACAGTTCTACTCTGTCCTATAGGGTCACTATACATCAGAATTGATTCGATGGCAACGGGTTTGGTTTTTGGTTTTCTATACATGTATAGGTAGGTATATATGTGTATATATAGGTATATGCAAATGTATATGTATATGCATCATGTGACTATATGCACATGTATTCATATATATAATAAAGCCCATAGGGGAGACCATTACAGATACTTCTTAGATATAACCAAACGCCTCAAAGGATTGGATTTCTGGGTATGAAGGATTAAGACATAGTCTCATGGGATATCTGGCATAATATAGTTAGGTTATGTTCTACATCCTAATTTGGTGAGTAGGGTCTAGAGTCTTAAAAGCTTCTGAGTGGCCATCTAAGACACAGCTACTGGTCTCTACTTATCTAGAGTGGTAGCCATGAAAAAAGAGAAAGAAGGAAACCAAAGACTCTAAGAAGAAATTAGTCTACATGACAAATAGTCTACATGAACCATGGCCTCATTTACTTGGAGACCAGAAGAACTAGATGGTGCCCAGCTACCACTACCAACTGTTTTAATCAGGGCTACAATAGATGGACCATAACAGAATGGGAGAAAAATATGGAACAGAATCTCAAATTTCAAAAAAAAAAACAAAAAAACAAAAAAACAAAAAACCCCAGACTTACTGGACTGGTTGAGACTGGAGGACTCCCTGAGACTATTGCCCTGAGATACTCTTCAGACTTTGAACTGAAACTAACCCCTGAGGTCACCTTGTAGCTAAATAACAAACTGGTTCAAAAAATAATGAATATCACCTGTAAGTACTGTGCTCTTTTAAAAAAATCACCTGTGTGAGACCAAATGGTCAACAATTACTTTAAAACAAAGATGATAGTGTAAGGGGGCAAGAAAACTAGATTAATGGAAAGGGAACAACCAGAATGGAAATAATGAGAATGTTGACGCATTGTGAAGAATGTAAGCAATGTCACTGAACAACTTGTGTAGAAATTGTTGAAAGGGAACCTAAACTGCTGTGTAAACCTTCACTGAAAACACAATAAAATATTACTGAAAAAAATCTCAGGGCCAAGGGAAACAAATACGGAGTCAAGACGAGGGCAGGTATAGGGTGAGGTTGGACAGAATAAAGATATAATGGCAGTAAAGTCCTACTACTGCTACAAGTTGGCTGCAGATTGATTTTGAGCTTCCTGGAGGGGAGGGGGCAAAGTTCACTTTTCCTCGTTTTGTTCACAGATGTCTTACTGAAATACAACTATACTGTGTCCCTGCTGTTGTTGTTATCAGCTGCCATCTAGGTGCCCCCCGACTCACTTCCATGTACAATGAAATGAAATGCAGCCTGGTCCTGTGCCACCCCATGATAGGGTGTGCATTGGAGTGTTGCGATCTGCAGGATTTTCGATGCCTGATTTTTCGGAAGCAGACTGCCAGGCCTTTCTTCCTAGTCCATCTTAGTCTGGAAGCTCTGATGAAACCTGTTCAGCATCCTAGCAACACACAAGCCTCCACTGACAGATGGGTGGTGGCTGTGCTAGAGGTGCATTGCTCAGGAATTGAATCCAGGGCTCCTGCATGGAAAAGGAGAATTCTTCCACTGAACCACCAATGCCTCACATACCTACATATTTACACACATGTATACCTCTACATACATATGCACACGTATATAAATAGTGCAGCCTCTAGATAAGGTAATTTAAAAGAGTCTCAAGAGACATCAGAGAAGCTATTGCCCACTGGGCACTCGCCTGTGTCAGGCATGGTTCTAAGTGTTATTATAGGTATTAACTCTGTAATCTTTAAATAAAAAAAAATCTACACCCAAGAGCGTGCTGTTACCATCCTCACTGATCAAATGAGGAAAATAAAGCCCAGAGAGGTTCCCCAAATCCCCTAAGCGGCAAAGCCAAGTTCAAAGGTGGCCAGTCTGGCAGGTGAGCAACATCCTTCACCACCATCCACAGACTGCTGCCCCTTGTTAACTCGGTAATTCATTCAGTCCTCACAGCACCTGACAGGCAGGTGTCATTATCACCCTCTCATTTGTTTTCCTCCTGTTAGATGAGGAAACGGACCCTTAGAAAGTTTCAATAACTTCCTAAAGGTCATTCAACGACTCGGCGGCAATTTAGGCTGGGATCCAAAGTCTGTTGGACTGTTTTCACTTCCCCAGGCTTTAGTCTTGGGACCCTCGCTGCGACAGTTCCTCCTCCTCGCAGGTCCCTGAAACGCGCCTCACCTGAGACTCTCGAGTCCACGTGGAGTGGGACGCCGCCCCCTGGTGGCAGGTGGAAGCAAGCGCAGAGCATGCTAATGAGGCCGCGGAGCCGCTCGCTGATTGGCTGGCGCGGATTCCGGCGGCTTCCCAATTAGGCTGGTGAGGGGAGAGTCGAGGGGCGCCGCGGACAGCAGCGCCCCGTCCCCGCCCCCACCCCGGACCCCGACGCCAGCCAACTCGGCTCGACGCCCAGGGCTCGTGCGAGCCTAGCTGGCTGGTGCACTTGGGGGGGGTGGGTCTTTCCATTTCTCTCCCGTTGGTTTTCTGGGTCTGAATTCACCCGGGGTCCAGGATGACAATCTGACACCAAGGCCAGCAGTACAGGCCGAGGATGGCCTTTCTCCAGAAGGTAACCTCGACCCTCACCTGGACCCAGGAGGAGGGAAGGAGCCAGCTCTGGGAAGTGTCCGAGGAGATGCCGGGGAGGCACGGACCGTGTGGGCAGGAGTCAGGCCCACAGGGGCCTCCCTTTGGGGCGTTAGTGCCGTTTGATTTTGTTAAATGACTGGTATGTGTTGTGACAGAAGATCTGTTCAGGTTTCCAAGCTGCCTGGTGGTAGTGAAGAATCGGCACTGTTTGGGCAGAAAGTGGGAGGCTGAAAGAGCCTGTTACCTGGAGCAGAAGTGCAGGGAGCGCAGGTCAGCAGGGGCCGCCCAGCTCTGAGCCACATAAGGTAACAAGATACCCAGATGTTCACTTCATTAGCCCCTACATGCTGCCATTTCCGGAGCTGAAGCCCAATATTTTCAAGTTTAAACATTATCTTGCACACATAGACCACAATAAACACAGCTCGAAAGGTGGTGGTCACCACGTGTCCAATCCCTCGGG